GTTGAATTATTTGGTTTTCATACTTCTATTTTGTTTATCACCAATTTATTTTTATGGTTTGCTTTTTCGTTTTAAAATTGGACCATTTTTTAACGGTCGTTATGTTGTAGTCATTAAATGTCTTCATATGTTTTATATGATAGCATTTTAGTTTTTTTTTACAGATTTATTTATTAAAATGATATTAAACTTTAAATACCAATAAGATACATGACCCTACCTCTCTACCTGTTTCACCTCTTTACTCATCTCACTCCTTCGATGAAGCTCCAACATTGTCATCCACATTTTCCAAGAAACCGTCGGCTTCCATTTCTCAGATGAATCTCCCGTGACCCACTTCTCTGATAAAGCTCCCATCCACACCCTTAAACCGAGTCATAACTCACTCTTCTCTGCTTTGCTTGTAGTATTGATTCCCGTTGTTGAGCTCAACTCTCTACTTTCATTAACTTCACCAATTCCTGCAATTTTTTTGTTTTTTCATATGCCTTTTTGTGAACAACCCCTATCGTGGTGTTCCTATCAATACTCCCCCGTTTGCTGTTGATGATGATGCTAAAGTTATTATGACCGGTTTTAAGGGTGTTGAAAGTGATCTTAAAGTTTGATGCCATTGATATAAGAGGGTGAACTTCTAGGTGTTCTTGTAGTATATGGGTTTGGTTATGGAGCCTTATAAAATCTATACATGTGACATTAATAGAATAAACTCGTGTTGCAATCTATGCAACAATACCCCCCACAAACTTGAAGAGCCTTCTTGGACAAGCGTTGCGATTCTCTCATAATCAATAGATGGAACTTCTGTATCATTAAATTATCCCACGAAGAAAAGCACCACAACCGCCAAACGGGATAAACAAGGTAAAAAGGGCATAAAATTAGAAGCCGGAAAGCATGGCCAAATTTATGGGAATAAGCTCATTTAAAATCTCCCGCTACTTGAATGATAATCATGTCTTGGATCCGAAAATATACCTCGAGCTAGTTTTTAATTTTCTCAACTGGGAAGTAGAACGAACTTGAAGATGTCAAAATAAACGTAAGCTTTTTGGATTTAAAATTTCTCAAAAAAACATATTCAATCTACGATTCTACATTCAGTCGAACATAGTTTTCAATGTCCGAATACGAAATTTTCATTCCTTGAAGCACTTGTATGTTTTGGGTTTATCTAATATCTTATCGTTACAATTTATTTTACCTGAGCTTTGTCTTATACAAACAATTATCGTATTCTTTATAACATCATCATCTAACACTCTTTTTAATACTAATTAAGCTCATATGTGACAATGTTGGTCGGGATCACTTGAGAACAATTCGTGTGTGTGTGTGAATTCGAACGGTGAAAGCATGGGCCTTCATATACCTTCATTCATTTGCATTCACACACTTTCATCTACCTACTTGTATCAAAATGACTGAAACGCTGACAGATTCATGTTGTAAAGATTGTTGAAGATATGTGAAAGTTCGTGAAGATGATGAGGTAGCTAAAGGTCCGTGTTTTTGGTGAACCATTAGAYGGAGGTAGATAAAAGTCCGCCTTCTGTGAATCGTAAGACACTACTAGAAAACTGGGCATTTCCGGCGGCATTTCCGGCAGACGATTTCCGCCGGTATTTTTCCGGCGGAAGTTAAAAAAGTCAACTTTTATTGACTTCCGCCGAAAATCTGCCGGAAAAATTAAACCGGTTATATTATCGGCGGATTTCCGGCGGATTTCTTAATTAAGGGTTAATTAATCTTTAAAAATTAATTAATATTTGAAAAAAAATTTAAAAAGATTTTTCCGGCGGAAAATTTAAAAAAAATTAAAAAAATAAATCCGCCGGAAATAGTTTTAGAAAAATAATTTTTAAAAAATAAAAAAAACCCTTTTAATCTTTTCCGGCGGAAAATTTAAAAAAAATTTAAAAATAAATCCGCCGGAAATCAGCCGGAAATAGTTTTAGAAAAAAAATAAAAAAAATCTTTTAATTTTTTCCGTCGGATTTCCGGCGGAAAATTAAAAAAAAATCCGCCGGAAATATGTTTAAAAAATTTATTTTTAAGAAATTAAAAAAACTTCTAACTTTTTCCGGCGGATTTCCGGTGGAGAAATAATAAAAAAAATTTAAAAATAAAGAAAAATCATTTTTTAAAATTAAAATACATTAATGGATCGTATTGGGCCTTAACGGACCGTGTTGGGCTTTAATGAACCGTATTGGACATTAATGGACCGTATTGAGCCTTAATGGATCGTAATGGGCCATAATAGATCATATTGGAGATTAATGGATCATATTGGGCCTTAATGAACCGTATTGGGCTTTAACGGACCGTATTTGCTTTAATGGACCGTATTGGCCCTTAACCGTATTATGCCTTAATGAACTGTATTGGGCCTTAATGAACCGTAGTGTGCCTTAATGAGCCGTATTGGGCCTTAATGAACCGTATTGGGCCTTAAGGAACCGTATTGGCTTTAACGGACCGTATTGGGCTTTAACGAATCGTATTGGGATTTAAAGGACCGTATTGGGCTTTAATGAATCGTATTGGGCTTTAACGGACCGTATTGGGCTTTAACGGACCGTATTGGACATTAATGGATCGTATTGGCCTTTAATGGATTGTATTGGGCTTTAATGGACCGTATTGGACATTAATGGACCGTATTGGCCTTTAACGGACCATATTGGGGCTTTAACGGACCGTATTGGGGCTTTAACGGACCGTATTGGGGCTTTAACGGACCGTATTGGGGCTTTAACGGACCGTATTGGACATTAATGGATCGTATTTGCTTTAACGGATTGTATTGGACATTAATGGATCGTATTTGTTTTAACGGACCGTATTGGGTCTTAATGGATCGTATTTGCTTTAACGAACCGTATTGGGCCTTAATGGATCGTATTTGTTTTAGCGGACCGTATTGGGCTTTAACGGATCGTATTTGTATTAACAGACTGTATTTGCTTTAATGGACTGTATTGGCCCTTAATGAACCATATTGTGCCTTAATGAACCGTATTGGGCCTTAATGAACCAAGATCCCAATTGTGTCTTGACCGGGAACTACACGGAATGTGATTCATCTTCAGAGGGTCGGGTATGTTCATCTTTTGCTTTGATGATGTTTATCGATTTAGTTTGTAATTCATATTAAATATTATTACTTATTTTATATAAATTCAAACCTTAAAGGCCCAACTTAGAACCTTAGAGGAACGACAGCGAATGGAAGAGGAGCGACATCGATTGAAGGAGGAGCAACAGGATAAAAAAATTCAAGATATGACTGCTTTGGTTAGACAGGTCAGTGAATCTCACCAATTCCCCCCGCCACCACCATATTGAATATTGTCTTTTGCTTGAAACAATTTAGTTTTGTTTATAACAATTAATTTTTGTTCGGTTGGAATAATTGTAATTTCACTTTAATTAATGTATGATATTTAGTTCTATTTTGCCTTTTTAGTTTCATTTTTAATATTGTATAGATTTACAGGTTTTAATACATGTTTTAATTAATGTATGATATTTAGAATTATTTTTTAAAAAACTTTCCGGCGGATTTCCGACGGAATATTCCGCCGGTACTTTTTATATGATTTTTAAATAAAATAAAATTAAATTAAACTTTCCGGCGGATTTCCGGCGTAATATGCCACCGGTATTTTTAAAAATTAAATATATATTCTTTTTTAAAAAGATTAACTTTTTTCCGACGAAAAACGTTTCTGGCGGATTTCCGGCGGAAAATTCCGCCGGTAAATGAATTTATTCTTTATTTTTAAAAATTAACCATTTTGTTAATTTAATCAAGATTTTATAAAATAAACCGGTGAAGAATTACCGGCGGCCGGTATCCGCCGGAAATTGGTAAAATCCGCCGCTTTTGCCGCCGAAAATCCAATCACCGGCGCCACTTTTTCCGGCGGCAATATCCGTCGGAAAAAGTGGACTTTTTGGTAGTGAGATCAAAAAATTAATCAACTCATCCAAAAGCTTACAAGTATCTATGCCATTCTTAAAAAATATGTTCTCACATGATCCTAACACATATGGGTCCAATAATTATCGTTATTATGGCTTAAACACTATTAAATACGAGATTCATATGGGAAAACTTAAAAACTAAAATATGAGAGTTTCTCAAATGTCATAAAAAGAGCTTATTAGCATTAAGCTCCTATGCATAGACACATAATGTTCGAGAACAAAGATTAAAATCAAACTCGATATATTGTATTCAAAGGTGGGCTTTGACGTTCCTTTAGCTTGGGGCATGGACAGACCTACAGTGGTGCCAACGATGGCACGTGCCACCATATTATTTCTCCGTCGAAGGGTAAAAAAATTTAGGTTCGTGAAAGGTGCAACCGTATTAATTTGTTGTATGCCACCGTATGTATTTTGAAACTACAATGTGAACAAGTTTTATTTGGTAGAGGTGGTTTGCAAGGCTCTTGTTCCACCCCAGACCCGAGTTCAATTCTTGTTTGTGTCATTTTCTAAGTCAAATAATGCCACAACTTGAATTTATTTCCCTATATTTGTTTCTTATAATCAAATGGTACCACCTTTTGAAAAAGTTTTTAGGTCCGTCCCTGCTTGGGGATAGATGTTTCTAAGAAAACCCTCACTTTATGAAAAAGATTGAAAAGACAGCTAAAAGCGTGGTTTTACAAAATTAATATAATAAATAATCACATGAATTCTCACAAAAATGTCAAAATCATTAAATTGACCCTAATATTGCATACTGATATTTACGGTTGGGTTCATGTGAGACCAACTTGTTTTTGTGAGTCCCATAAAACTACAGAATAACACTGAAACTTTAAAACAAAACATTATAAAAGTACAAAAACACCGAATTCACAGTGTTCCGCTATAAAATTTTAGTGTTATTTACGTGGTAGCTTTCACGAAATCAATATTGTAAATAACCCCGATTATTATACTTATACAAACATATGATTGGAGACAGAGGTCTCAGCATTTATTGCATGCAAGATTTTCCAAAAAAGGAATCAAATCAAAAGAAAATTCAAAATTAACTTTTCTTCAATTTTCWATCACACCTTGTTTCCATTGATGGATATCTCACAAGATGCTGCAAGTATTGGAAGGGACTTCATGGACAACCTGCAMCGGCCAGGCTTGCCAGCAGTGGTGTTCACGACAAACGCATTCACACCACACTGTTTGCTTTGGCTCCTTTTGACTGGTGGCGGTGGCGGTGGTGGTGGAGGGAGGTTTGGGCGGTTTCTTCTCCTCTACCGGACCAACACTGACGAGTTCCGCGTGCCCTACGCGTTTTCTTAACAAGCACGTTAGTTGAACCGAGTCGATTCGTTCTCCGATCACTACTATCTGTTGTTTATCCACTAAAGTCACTGAATCCACCACCCCTGTTTCTCCATTTTTCACGATTTAGTCCAAATAATCATCGAAATACTTTTTTGAACAATAAATCACGGATCTCGTCCGATTAGGAATCAGAAGGGAAAAAACGACACGTCCAAACAGAACTATTCCGATCAAATCACGGAAGGATTCATCCGACGCAAATGCCCCAATTTAAGTGAAACTCAAGTTCGTCGATGATTTTATGTTAGAATCAGAATTTTGGATCAGATATGATCCAGGTCGTTTTTATACATAGTTCGAATATAAATTCATCGAGATTCCTTTGATAAGCGAGAGGTGGTCGGATTTGTCATCGTTTACTTCGTATTTGAACTTGAAATTGTTGAAAGTAGTAGGCGAAAGCAATCAATTAGAGGAAATAAGAAAACCTAACACAGAAGTTGTCGAACATCTTACTGGAGACACTGACGACGATCTGCAAAGCCTTGCGAGGCGACTTGTGGTTCTTCATCGTCACCTTCACCACAATCTTTTGCTGCAAAAACAATGAATTATAGAACTTAAGGCCAAGTAATTCAAACAAATGCAACGCAGAATCAAATTCCATTACTGAACAAATTTCTACCTTCGCCATTTTTGTGCTTTTGAGACGATTATATGATGGGTTCTCACTTCTTTCTCTAGAGAAAAAACGTTCAGATTCGTTGGAGTTTTATATCGAACCTCATGGGGTGGAGGCAATTGGCAAGTGGATGAAACGACGACGTAACGATGACTATTGAGTAATTAATAGCAATATTTAGCTTATTATTTATCTTCTAAGGTGTTAGTTTGTCAAATTAGTTCATAAACAAAATGTAGTTGATAAATTTATTGATAAATAAATTATGTTTATTAAAAACTAAATGTAAAATGGAAAAAAAAAGGACAACTTAAAACAATAATTAATTAAAAATATTTTATAATAAAATGAAAATACATTTATAATAATGTAATTAAAACAAAATTTTAATATTATAGTATAATACCCCTAGAGAGGGATCACGCTAAGCCAGCGAAAAGGGTTTTCCATAAGATGGATATTATTTAATATAAATAAGATAGTAAAGAAAAATTAAATATATGATATGTTGATTAAAAAATTTAGAATTGATTATTATATATAATATAAAATTTGAATTTGTTAAAAAGAATTAAAAAAAAATCTACAT